TTGACGGCAAGAGCTGCGCGTAGCTGCTCAGGAGCTGCGTCCATGCGACGGCGAGAGATGACAGCGCGACCATGGCGAATGGAATTGCCTACTGACTGATATCACCTATGATGCAGGAGCGTTGACGCGGCAGATTGTAGGTACGGAATGCACGTCATTTCGCTTCGGAGCCAATCAAAAGAGTGTTCAACAAAGGTGGTGATTTTCAACTCAGCTCCCCTGCTCAGTAGTTTAGCTTCGTGGTGGTGGTGTGTCCAGCCCAAGAGCACGTGGTGCTTCTCGACGCTCCATAGAGTTGTGTCAAGGCCAATGGAATTACATTCTGTAGGTTAGGCATGATGTCTTGGTCCAGGTCCAAGGCGTCTGAGCACGGCCAGACATGCCGTCTGTCGTGAGTCGAGCGTCTGGCAGAAGCTCGACTCACACAACCAGAAGCCTTCTGGCTGTGTTTTTCTGAGTATCAAATATCAGATGGAGCCACGTTTGGTAAGCAGCCAGGTCGTGCATTTAAATTTTACTCCCAGTCAACACAGTACGTGTTTGGCTTACGTGACCGCTCATGAACGCACAATTAAAGATCCCGCGGCGGTGTCCGCATCGGCATGGCACCCGATGACATCGATGCAATCGCATCAGAGTCGTCTTGAAACGCGACGACTTCACGGCGACAGTCCAGCCACTCGAAGGCATAGCACCAGTGCTGGAGCAAGGTGATCAGGTACATCAGCAGCAGCCCGTTCGTACGAGCTCTGTAAGCGATGTAAGCAATAAAGGCGTCGCAAGCAATCGAAGACGATCACACGTCAGTCATATCATCAACGTATGCCATCTCTCTCACGTGCATATACTGTATCAACTTGATATTCTTCTCAGCAAGCACGCGATGGTGCGTACTCTCGATGCGAGTTAATAGTACATCCGCGCTGGCTTGGCGATGCTCGTCGAGAGCCTCATCATTGCATGCATCGCATCCGAAAGGCGCGACGCGGGGCCGAACGGCGTCGCGTCAATCGTACAAAACGTCGTCGACGGCAGCGTCCCGTTGGAGTAGTAGGCCGCCACGAGCTTGTGGACGCACGTGCTCGGCTGACTGAAGAGCGCGCCGTGGCCATACCCCTCGCGCGTCACAAGTACCGCATTGTCGCCGCCCAAAAGGCGGTGTACATTTTGCGCACTCAGCATCGGCGTCGCCGGGTCCACTTGGTTGGTCAAGACGAGCACCTTGTTGGCCAACTTGTGCGTCCACGGGCCCGTGAAGCGCTCGACGGGGCGGGTCGTCCACGCTTTCACAGCGACCAAGTTGACAAAGCCAACGAGGCCCGAGAGCGGCACGAGTTTCTGCGCTGCGTGGACCGTCGCGGTCCAGTTGAGGCCCTTGGACGGCGCGCCGTCGTTACCAACGTACGCGATCGTCGCCATGCCGACATCGAGGTCTGCGTCCAGTGTCGCGCAGCTCGAGTTGGTGCTCGGGGACTCGTATGTTCCGTTGAGCATCGCGTGGAGGGTAGCCGCCAGCGGCGGCCACGCAGCATGCGGAGAGTACATGGAGCCAAAGATATTTTGTCGAATCTCCTTCGCCGTCACGCGCACCACGTCGTCGCCGCCCTTGAAAAGCAGCGGCTTGGTCTCGACCGCTGCCAGAAAGGCCTGGAGGCGCTTCATGAGGTACGGGCGCGTCGCGTTGGCGTCCGCGAGTGGGCAATGCAGGTGGGCCCGCGGCCTCGCACTGGTCTGTAAAGGCCGTAAAGCTCGCGTCGTTGTCCGAGTACGAACGCAAAAGCAGGTTTGTGACGGGGCCAGTGTACACTTCCGGATCCAAGACCGAGTCGATCACGACGCGGCCGACACGGTTCGGAAACATGTTGACGTATGTCGCCCCGAGGAACCTAGCAGCCAATGAGCCCCTCGATGCGTCCAGTCGATGTGCACTACGTACGTGCCGTACGAAATGCCGTAGTAGTGCATGAGGTCTTGGCCGAGTGCGGCGCGAATGAGGTCCATGTCCCGCGCAACAAACGCGGTCGAGAGGTACGGAAGGTAGTCGCCGTCGTAGAGGTGGCAGCGCGCGATCGGCAGCGCATAGTTGTTGGCGACGAAGGCGTCGATTGCAGACTCCGAGGTGCCGACCAGGTCGGCGTTGTCGAGTGCCGCACCTTCAATGGCTGCCGTGAACCGGTTCTTGGAGCAGCGAAGGTGGCGCGATTTGCCAATGCCACGCGGGTCAAAGCCAAGGACGTCGTACTGACCGCCTGTCATATCTGCGATGGCAGGTGTCGCCATGGCTGTGCCAGCGCCGCCCGGACCGCCGGGGTTGAGGAGGATCGTACCCAGTGGCGCCGTCGCGTTCGAGACGTACTTTTGAACTGCAATATCGAGTGTCGCATTGTTGGTCGGGTCCAGGTGATTGAGCGGCACAGTGAGGTAGCCGCACTGGTACCGGGCGTCATCAGCGTGGTCGGGACACAAGGACCAGTGGAAAGGCCCGGCGCCAACGGCAGTGCTTT